CTCCCCGCCTCCCCGCCTCCCCGCCGCCGCCGCCGCCGCCGCCGCCCGCGCTTCCTCCCCACGCGTGACTGGGCCGAGCGGTGCAGACCGCCGTTCGCTGTGCGCACTCGCGTGTGCCCGGGCGCGCTGTGTGGACCGGAGACGGGGTCACGGCACAATTCACCCTTCCGGTCTTCCCCGTTTCTGCCCTGAAATCGGGGTTCGTGGAATGGACTCCCGCGCGCGTCTCGCCTGCAGGCTGGACTCGGGGAGCCGCGCGACCGCGGGAGGGAGGGTTTGGCAGAGCAGGGCGCAGGCGGGGAGGCGCCCGAGCGGGTGCGCGCCCGGGCGCGTGTCCCGCGGGGGTCTCCGGGCCGCACCCCCGGGGAGCAGGGACGGTCCCGCCCGGAGTTGGTTTTCGTTTTGTTTTGGGCGCCTCGGAAAGGTGGAGGGGCCGGTAGTGAAAGAGATCAGGCACTGCTGGCAGAATCAGAAGTTGGGGTTCCCCACCCCCCGCGATCAGCGCGTGCTGTCGGCTTCCCGTGAGCGTTGGCGGGGGGGGGGGGGCGAGCTGTGCATTAGGCCGGGAAGAAGGAGGCGTTTCATGGATGGATCTGCGTGGCTGGGTGCTTGCTTGCCTGCCTTCCTTTTCTCTTTACTGTTTCTGTGGTCGGCTTGCAGTGGCAGAACCCCGTTTTCCAACTCCGTTTGCCTGAGCTCAGGGTCCGCCGCAGTTGTTAGTCACCCCCCTCTCCGCACCCCGCCTCTGCAGCGGGGGTGGGGGGGGAGCGGTGAGGGTGAAGGCGGCATCCCCAGCCTAGCTTCGGACTCTTGGGAAAGCCCAGGACTGGACGAGGGTCCCCAGCCGCGGCTGCTGGGGTCCCGGAGGGCACCTGTGGGTACTGACTTTATCATCGTTGAAATGAAATTAGAAAACACTTCGCCTTTTTTGGGGGGGGGGGTACCAGGGATCGAACTCCGGTCCTTGTGCTTGCGCAGCAGGCGACTTCGCCTTTTTTTTTTTTAATTTAAAGAAAGGGGTTTCCCAGTTGAGGGTTAGTTTTGGTCAAAACTTTTGAATCCTGTCATTGGGGTTTATTCAGTTTTGGGGTTGTGACTCTGAGATGTTCAGATTACAAGGAGGTAAGGAGTCCTATCCATGTGCATGTGTCCCTCTTCGAGGCTTTTACCCGCCTGGGCCCCTTGCCTGCAGCCTCTGGCAGTTTGATGCAGTATTGCTGACTGACTTGGCTTCCACCTGGCTGGCTGCAGTCGCTGGGTGGAGGGGTTCCCTGAGTGGCTCCCGCTGTGGCGTGCTGTTGGGGTCGCTGCAGTGGCTTCCACCTCCCGGAAGGATGGGGATTTGTCTTCGGACTCAACAGCATCTCGATTCTGGCCCCATTCGGGTGAGCTCCGGGCATGAGTCTGCCCTAGGGTCCCAGAGGGCTGCCTTCTGCCTTGGAAATTATTCTTTGCCAGGATCCTTTCCACCTAGTGCTGGCAGGGGTCCTAGAAGAGTGAAAGTCATAGAAGAGAATGACCCAGTTTCTTTTACTCAATGACATAATGGTATGGTAATCGTGGTAACATTCTTCAGTGTGTACCCGGCATTTATTTTAAGTGTCTTGTGTGTGTTAACTCACTTCAGTGTCACAGTAACCTTAAATGATGTAGATATTTACTGTGATCCCCAGTTGTCAGATGAAAACACGAAGGCAACAGAGAAATTACGCGACCTCCCCACGTTATTAGGTGGTGGACCTGCTGTGGAAAGCTAGGCAGAGCAGCCTTTGATAATCCATGCAGGGTCGAGCCACTTTGTGGATTTTGTAATGGTGGATGATGAATAATAATTTAACCTGGGCTTAGGATGTAGAATTCAGTGGTAGAGCTCTCGGCTAGCATGCGTGAGGCCCTGGGTTCCACCCCCAGCATTGGGAAAAAATATAAAGGGCTTAATTTTAATACTTAGAAAGCTAATTTTAACACTAATGTAAATAGAAAATAATTATGGGATAATCTATTATCTAAACATGTAAGAATTTCAAAGCTCTTGGATTATCAGTGTCCTTCTGCCTATTGGACTCAGTAGAAGTGTTTCCAAGTTCAGGATGTCTAATTCACCTGGGCCAAGTCTAGCCACCTCGGCTGAGTCTTAACAACTCGGAGCTCACTTCCTGTCCTTTCTGTGTGGGCTTTTCTGTTTGTAATCAAGTCCAGCGTGAATCCAAGGCTTCCCTAATTATAACTGGTGTTCATTCCCAGAGCGCTCTGTGGTTCCAGCCATGTTGTTCGCCACACCTTTGCTGTGTGTCTTTAAGATCCTAAGGCAGGAAAGCCCAGCAAGAAGTGAGGCTGTCAGCTTACAGTGTTAAAACGCTTATGAAATAAAGCATCATAAAATCCAGGGAGGACTTGCGTTGCCTGAGTCTGGAATCTCATATTGGGCTGCCTTCTCCAAGTCTCTTCCTAATAGAGTAGAACACTTACTGTTGGATGCTAGGGTCATGGCACTTAGTGTGGTCAGAGGGACCTTGCTGGAGTATGGAGGCTGAGGGCGAGGGACGCTTGACCAGGAGGAGGAAGTGAAGGGCAGCATGGGGAGAGGCTTGGGGCTGGGTTGTTGGCTGCATCTCTGAGATAGGCCCCAGGGAAAAAGCTCTCAACCTGGGACTGCACTTTAGCCGCCTTTGAAAGGGAATCCCAGAACCTAACCTATCTCTGAATTAGGTGGTGAGGCTTAATTACTGCTTATTAATCACCAACATGTTTTCAGGTCCTTGGCACACGGTGAGAGCAAATAAATGCTGTGTAACAGCAAATTAGGGATGGTAAACATTCTGTTGGTGCATTTTGCTAGGATGTTGAGGCTTCTCTGCTGTAGGTGTCTTTCATTGACTTCTGAAGCTGCCACAGAAGGCTGACCCACAGCACCCGGAGAAGTGCAGATGGGGGGGAAGCTCTGTGTGTGGCAGGGAAGCACCCCAGGCTCCTGTAAGCGTGCCTGCAATTTCCAGCCCTTGAGATGCGTGTGAACAGGGAAAGCCTTAACACTTGGCACCACCAGAATGGTTTTTCCAGCTTCCCTCGATTCCCCTGGAGGATGGGCGATGACACATCCTAGGAACTAGATCTCCTTCTCATGGAGCCTGAGGATGGTGTTTCATCAACTGACATTTGAAGTCTGCTGTGTGGAGGTGGCTGGCCTGGGTCTGGCTCAGCCACTCAGGGGCTGTGTGGCTTGTGTCAGGGAGGGGGCCCCAGCAGCTGGGCGAAGCTCCTCTGGGTGGCAGGGACGTACTTATGACTGTGCAGGCGCATAGTGAATCAGCTCTGGACCAGCCGCCCTGGCCCGCGTAGCATCAGCGGCAGTGAGTCCTCCTTTCTTTAACTGAATATCTGCTGAGTGCTGCTGTAGGAAGAGAATAAATGGCCATTTCTGTGGGGCGAGCCCTGTCCTTTGCTGCCTGTCTCGTATTTACACTGCTTACTCTGAAATTGCTCAGTAAATACCCCTGTTGTCTGAAATTCAGGCTAGGAAACACTCACCTTCTCTCTTCTTGGAGCGCATGTGTGCGTGTGCGTGCGTGTGTGTGTGTGTCTGTGTGTGTGTGTGTGTAAAAGGAGCTGGTAGTGGGTTGGACATGGGGTGTGAGATTCCCCAAGGATTTGGGGTCCGAAGGATGGTGGGACTGGTCGTTTTGTTCAGCTCCTCCTAGGGGTTTTGAGCACCTTCCGTACCTGGTGTTGGGGCCCTTGATAGGGCAAGCTCATGCCCGGAGGCATCTCTGCTGTCCCATCAAGGGACTCTTGCATTTCTGGTGAAGTTCTGGGAAGGACTTTTTTTTCCGGCACTGGGGATTGAACTCAGGACCTTACGCTTTCGAGGCAGGCACAGTGCCACTGAGCTACATCCCCGGCCCCTGGGAAGGACTTTTGAGGAAGTTCCTCTCTGTCCACAGTGAGAGAGTGCGTGTGACAGACCGGAATCTGAGCAGCAGAAGAGCTGTAACTGTGAGAAAATGCTGTTTTGTGCTTTTAGAATTCCATCAGTAGCGGAGCTAGATCGCTGTGACAGGTGGACCCATAACTCACAGCTCCTCCACTCGACCTAGGAGTGTGTGTCCCAAATCATCTGTTCAAAATAATATATGATAATTATGTCATATGTGAGAGGGATAATATTATTATTATAATAAATGTTACATTTGGAGAAAAAAAGCAGAAAGTTTTCCTTGACCGAGGAAAGCTAACCAGCTGGGTAGAACTGGTCCCGCAGTGGTGAGTGGGGACTCCCCTCCATCCCTGGCTCTGCTTCAAGCTTGCCAGCCCCGGGAGGTGCTGGGATTGGCTGTTATTGGGGGAGGACCTCAGGGGTCAATTTGGCTGCCTCTCTCTAAGTCCTTTTCATCTTTCCTTTCCCCAAACAAATCTCCTCAAATCTCCTTCAGTCTCTCTCCACCTGCTGTTCCTCTCTCCTCTGGGCCGGCTCAGGCGTGGTGCCCGCTGGGAATTGCTACGTTACTGGTCACCCTGCTGAGGGTGGCAGACCTAGCACCTTGGGGCCTCCTGTCATCCCAGTGCCCCAGATGTCACGGGAGTCCCCGGGAGCCCTAGCCCACTGGGCACAGGTCTCTTTGTTAACGAAGAAACAGCATATAGGTGGCCCAAGGAGCTTGGTGTCTGAGACGGTTCACCCAGGTTTCTTCTCTCACACGATGTGGCCAGTTGAACGCTAATGTATTTGACCCAGGAGGACGTGTGGGCTCTTTCTTTGGGGTGAGAGATCACTTTTTTTGGGGCTAGTTTTTTTTTTTATTAGATCTCACTTGATTTTCTTTAAAGGTTCCTTATGCAATATATGGATTATTTAGGCTCCAATCTGACCCAGGGTAACCTCCGAATGGATGTCAGAGGTCAGGTTCGTTTTGTAGTGGGCCGTGTTCAGCCCACTCTGTGCTCAGCTCTCAACTGTTTGCCTTGTGCTGTTTTTCTTAGTGTTTCAGCAAGATTCCCAAAGGCAGGGGTTCTGTCCCTTGCTTTACCCCCGATCTTGAGGATAAGTCAGGCCCAGTACGAGCATTCACAGCTGTGTTCCCCTGGATTGACCCCTTAATCTCAGGTGGAGATGGAAGTGGCAGCTGCCCGGGACTGTGAGGACCCAGGGATGTGTAGGAAGTGCCAGCTCCTTTCTGGGGTTGAATAAACAGTGACTATCATTACGCTCTTGTTGCCTGCTGCAGCTGCGGTTGACTCCTCAAGAATATTCAGGGCCAGCACCAGTGAGGAGGAACATGCCTGCATCTGCTGGAAATTGATTTTTGTAAGCTCTTGTTGCAAAAATGCCGGATGATGCATATTTATCCTCTCAAAAAATTGATTTAAGCAACCAAGAACAATTTTTCCTTCAGCCGGGGAAGAACAATTGCTGATTGTTCTTTACGCTTCAGTGACTGGCTGAGAACCTAGGTTTGATGGTTACGTGGGAATGGATGCGAATCCTGCCAGGCCCACTGTTTCCTGGCTGTGCAGCTTTGGATGAATTATGTTACCGTTCCGAGTCCCATGTAGGACACGATCTCACTGGGCACTCATCTGGGGGTTGTGAGGAAGATGAAGTGAGGCTGTGCGAGAACCGGAGGAGAATGGAGCCGGCCTGGGAATCCGCTCGGCAAGTGCCAGCCCTCTCCCCAGAGACCATTTGGGCAGATTTGGAGACTACACAGGGCCCTTCACCGTTTGCTCCCAGTAGGCGACCATTAGTCCATGCGGTGCCAGCATTACCCCAAAGCCTCCACCCTAAACGCCCTCTGGGCCAGCTCCTGTGCTGGGCTGACCAGTTTGCTTCACATCCCACACCCCGGGCTTGTCCCTTCTTGTAGCTCACCCGCTTTGCCTCTGCCTCTCCCTCTCCCTGCTCCTGAGCTGGGGCTGAAAGTCTGTCCCTGACGTATCAGCTGGTGCCACCGCCTTCTCCCGGCACAGATGTCCATCCTCATCCTCGAGCAGCAGCGGCTGGCCTCCCTCAGCTTCCTCGTGCTGGGCTTGTCAGCACTGTGGGGCTCTGGTCAGCTCTCACTGGCCTTTACATTTGTGCTTGCTGTGCTGGGATGGAGCCTGGGCCCTGCATCGTAGGCAGGGGCTCACCACCGAGCTACCTCCACAGCCCTGAAAATGGTTTGATTTGATGCCTTGGGTCACTTACAGAGTCTTCCTCTCGTGGATTTATGTCATGTAACACCTGTATGTACTGAATTCCTTTGAATGTTAGTGTTTTAGAGTAGAAGCAGCTGTATATGTACATCGCACAGTAGTTTAGATTCCTTTAGATGGGGAGTTTTTGGGTAGGAGGTGGAAGATCTCAAAAAACTTTTACTTTTCCAGGCTGTGGGATGAAAGTGTAGCTCTTCGGAGCTTACCTCTAAGTTGGGGGGTGCCCTCTCCTAGACCTTTCCCTTGCAGCCCCTTTGGGGCCAACCTCTGGTTCCATGCTTGGTGGGAACTCTATACCCGTGCACTGGGGAAGCTGCTAGCCTGAAGCTGTTAATATTCTACCTGTTGAGAGAGCCTGTCTGTCGTTCATGACCACAATCCAGATCACTGGAGTTGCTCTTGCAGTAAATTCAATATGTTGCTATAAACAGAACCCTGAAGATACCGTATTAAATAAAACCCCAGCCCTGATTCCCAGGAGGCACTCATGCTTGCTTCCCCATACAACTCTGTCCCTTCCCACCAATGCCCAGCACTGTGGGGGCAACAAGGGGAGGAGAGGGGAAACAAACCCTACCCAGACTGAAGCCTTGTAGCTTTAGACAACTTGGGCTGGAGGGAAGAGCAGAAGTGTACAGAGCCAGGACATCGCATCGGCAGTGTCCCTGCCCCCAAATATCTGTCAGTATGAGGGCCCAGAGGTCCTTAACCTTGTGCTATGGTTTAAATATACAGTGTCCGCCAAAGACTCTTGTACTGGCCGGCTGTAGAGGCCCACGCCTGTAATCACAGCACTTGGGAGGCCGAGGCAAGAGGATTGCTACGAGTTCGAGGTCCATCTGGGCTACATAGTGAGTTCAAGGCCACCCTGAACTACATAAAGTTAAAAAACAAAAAAAAGACAACAACAAAAGACTTGTGTATTGAAGGCTTGACCCCCAGTGCTCAGAGGTGGGGGACCTAGAGAGGAGACTGGCTCACAAGGGGATTACCCACTGATGAGTTCACAGCGGAATGAGCTGTTGGGCGCGGGCAGAGCCAGAGGAAGGGTAGATCACTGGGGCTGTGTCTTTGAAGGGTGCACCGGTCCTGGCCCCTTCCTCTCTCACTCTTTCCCTTTCTGTTTCAGAGTCGCCATGAGTTGAGCAGCTTTCCTCCATCAAGCCCTTCCACCATGATATTTCTGCGTTTCCACAGGCCTAAAGTAAAAGCTGGCCTGCCATGGACTGAAACCTTTGAAACCATAAGCCAGAATAAATCTACTTTAAGTTGACTTTCTCACACTTGGTCACAATGATGAAAAGGTGACTAATACACTTTGGGAAAAAACAAAAATGCTTAAAATTTGTCCTAAAAGTTTAGGAGCGAAAAGCCAGGTGTGGTGGCACCTGCCTGTGATCCCAGCACTCTGGGAGGCTGAGGCAGGAAGATCCCAAGCTGAAGCCCAGCCTGGGCAACTTAGTGAGACTGTCGGAACATAAAAAAGAAAATAAAAAAAGCAGGGAGTGTGGGTCATTGAGAGGGTCCTGGGTTCAATCCCCAATACTGTGCCAACCAACAAACCTCCCAGAATTAGAAGGTATGAATACCCTGAAATAGGCTGAGAGTCTGCCAGTAATTTAGCGTGTGAGTGATTTTGAAGTATTCCGGTGTTTAGAAGAAGTGTGTGAGTGGGAGGGATGGAAAGGGAAAATCTGGTCTTGGTGCTTTGGAGGAACGAAGCTCACAGGGTTGCAGGCTGGGGAGTTGAAGGCAGAGAGAGCCATGTGGGAAGGAGCCAGGGGCCTGAGGAGCAGGATCTCAGCCATCACAGACCTGGGCACCGCCTGGCCTAGGCCCCGGAAACGGTGGGTGCCATTTTGCCACCACCTCTGGCATCTTTCCCTCCTCTCCTCCCCAGCTCCCTGCCCCGGGGCCAGGCAGGACTGGTAACCCCGTCCTTCAGCCACAGCCTGCACCCCAGTGCTCTGTCTAGGCCGAGTAGGATCCTGCTTCCCAAGAAATTCCCACTTAACCTCTGAAAGAAAGTGGACTCCAAATAACAGCAAAAGTTTAAAATGAGCTTTTGGAACTGACATCCTGTACAAGTTGGGGGCAGCCTGAAGTTGGCAGTAATGTACAAGAAGCGTGCTCCATGGATTCTCTCTGCCTATGTTAGCATGGTCTGTAAAAATGGAGTTCGTGGTCCTGGTAGTGATAAAAATGTTAAAAAATTAGCTTTCTGTAGCCCTTTCAGCCCTCGGACAACTGGGATATAGTAAGATTTCATATATATATGTATATGTGTACATATATATGCGTATGTGTTGGAACAATTGTGGTTAAAACGTAGAACTTGTGTTCTTTACCATTTTTAGGTGCATCGCTGGGTTAAAACAGCCACATTTGCAGCCATCCCCCTGTCCGCTTCCAGATCTCTTCCTCTCCCCAAGCTGAGCCTCTGGACTCCATACACAGTGTGTCCCCTCTCCTCTTCCCCAGGCTGCTGGCAACCACCATTCTCCTCCCTGTCCTGTTGCTGTGAACCTGACTCCTCTGGGGACCTCCTGGAAGTGGAACCTTGCAATCTCTGTCCCCTCTCACTTGTATACTGTCTCTTCAGGACTCATCTCTCTTGTAGCAGGGCGCAGAATTCCCTAACTTTTCCAGGCTGAATAATAGTCCAGTGCATGAGTACACAACATGTTGCTTATCCATTCATTTGTCCACAGACATGAGTTGCTCCCACCTCTTGCTTGTTGTGTATATTGGTGCTAGGAGCCAATATGGGAGAATAAATCTGTCCTTAAGACCCTGTCTTCGTTTTTTTTGAGCATGGACCCACAAATGCAATTGCTGGATCAACTGGTAGGTGTATGTTTTAGTTTTTTTTTTGTGGCACTGGAGGATTGAACCCAGGGCCTTGTGCATGCCAGGCAAGTGCTGGGTTTTAAATTCTGCGAGGAACTGCCATACTGTTTCCCACAGCTGTGTGGTGTTTTGCAGTTTGCAAAGTGGCTTTTGCATCCAGGATTCCTTCTGGCGCTTCAGATAGCCCTGTGAGTGAGCCGCAATTATTGCCTTCATTTTACAGATGAGAAATGGAGGTCGGGGAGGAGGTTAAATGACCCAGGTGACACGTTGCTAAGTGGCGAGTGGAGATTTGAGTGTCTCCTGACTCCTGACTCAGTGCTGTTTGTCCTGTTTCATGCTGTGGCAAACCGGCGAGTGCAGTTGATGGAGTAGAGAACTACTGACTGCTGAGAGGAGGAAAAAGACCCAACTGGGGCCTCCTTTGGATGAACATGGTAGCGTAGGGGCCCCACGCCAGTGTGTGCTGGTGAACCAGCTTGTGAGGGAGGAGGCTCTGGCTCTGGCCGGTGCAGGTCCCGGGGTGTAGGCCTCCCACCTGGGCTGGTAACACTCCCCATAGTTTGATAATCTACTTGCAACACGCCTGATTCACGCTCTCTTAGGCAGAGACACCCCTAAAGGAAGAAGAGGTCAAGAGGTCTCAATCTGAGTCCCAGCTCTGCCATTTCAGAACCAGAACCTCAATCTTATCCTGCCTGGGTCTTGATTGCCTTGTCATCAGATGGGGATAATTAGCCCTGGATTACACCTGCTCATGTTACAGAACTTTGTACAAGTTCTGAATGAGGGAAGGCATGTGTGGTGCTTACTATATAGTGAGGCCGAATACAAACAGAGGGTATTATTACGAGGATTATAGCTTTAAAAATACTCCTTTCTCATAAATGTTAGCATCAGGTGCACTCCGTGAAACCTAGCTATTGTCTTTTGGGCAGGCCTTCCATAGAAGTTGGGTCATGTGACCTTAAGTCATGTGCTGACTTGTTTGTTGACAAGTGTCAGCAGCAAACCCTGAAAAGTTTCATAATATATTTACCTGGCTCTGTTCACGTGTTACATTTTTTCATTGTCAGGGTTTAGGTGATTGGTACCTTAAGACAAACTTTAAAAAAATATGAGGGCAGCAGATCCTCCCAGCAGAGAATTTGAAAGATACGGAAGAGTTTTCTGTTGCTGTGCTTGGATACCACAGATGAGGTAATTTATAAAGAAAAGAGGTCTATGCAGCTCACCATCCTGGAGATTTAAGAGTATAGTGTCTGCATGGGCAGGGCATCTGCTGAGGGCCTTCTTGCTGGCGGGGACCCTCTGCAAAGTCCCCAGGCACCACAGGGGTCACATGGCAAAAGTGAGCCTGGGGTGGGGCTTTCTCCCTCTTCTTCCAGAGCCACTGTTGTAACGATGGGGTCTCACTCTCTGCCCTGTCTAATCCACCTGCTCCCGAAAGCCTCTTCTCCAAACACCGTTCACCTATGACTTTGGGGAGTAGTTGTGGGGGACACACTTGAACCATGGCAGCTGCGTACTGGGGCAGAATGGGCTGGTTGGCTGGATGGATCCCAGGCGATCGGGATCTCAGGAGGTGCCCTGAGGGTCGGTGATGGGGTGGGTCTGTGAGGTACGGGGGGCTGTGGATATTAACCGATCGACAGTATGTCAGTATTCTCCCAGCTGGTGTGGTTGAGGCGTGGTGTACGTGCTGAGTGTTGGCTCTGCACATAGGCGAGCCTGTCCCTTGGAGTGCTGCGGGTGCCTGACTTTATTGAGTGTATCAGCACACTCGTGTCAGCTTGGTGGTCATGTGATAGCCCTGCTGACGTTAATGTCACGGCCACTACCTCTACCCTCACGAGCCCCGCTAAGCACATCCCAGAATCTGGTGTGTCAGAATCTGATGCCAAGATGAGACCCCGCTCAACAGCCTTCCAGAGAGCTAATTCTACACGTGAGAGGACGAGATAAAAAGGATTCATGTCCTAGAATGTCTGACTGCCCCTGGTTAGGATAAGGCACAGGAACCTGGCTTCTCAGTCACGTTGTGACATTAAACAAATACTGTCCCACATGTAGCCCTTTCTTTTGCCAAACTGCAGACATCTAAAACCCATCCAACCTCTCCTTTAGTTTGGCTCTTGAATGTCTGCGAAAGGTGGACCTGGTACCTTTGCTTTCTCTGCTTGTGTTAAAGGCTTGTTCCCAGCTGAAACCTTTAGAGGTGGGGCCTAGTGGGATGTCTGGGTCATTGGGGAGCAGCCTTCAAGGGGAGAGTGGGACCCCAAGCCCCTTTTCTTCCTCTCTCTTTTGTGCCCTGGCATGTGTTCCCACCATGATGTGCTGCCTCACCACAGGCGAAGAGCAGTGGTGCCAACTGACCATGGACTGTACCACTGAAATGATGAGCCAGAGTAACCCTTTTCTCTTTATAGGTCAGTGGTCGCTGGGTTGTCACAGTGACAGGAAGCTGACTAATGCGATCTCTTTAGAATGTAGTCTGAATCAACTCAGTCTCGCAGTTAGAGGTGAGGTGTTTTTACCCTGGTGCAGATCAGCTGGACCATGTCTTGGTGTGTGGGCCATGAAACACAGGTGCTTAGAGATACAGTGTCCTGTAGTTAAGCTTGACACCTAGACCCACAGGGCTTTGGCTGGGTCTTCTCCTGCTGTCTAGCCGTAGGGTGAGGTTGCTGCTCTGTCAGCTTTGCCTGTCCCTGTCTTTGGTTTTCGTTCCTGGGCCCTTTGGGATTCCCTGGACAGGTGTGTGCAGTGAGCTCCTGAGTGTGCTGTAGGGAGAACTCGGAGCTGGGTACTGGGTGCCTTTGTTCTCTCTGCTTGTTTCCTCCCTGCCATGCCCGGCTCAGGTAGATGAGAGGGAACCACAGTCAGAGAGCCAGGAGCAGAGCACAGGCCCGTGACTCCTGCAGGGCCTCAGTGGCGAAGACCCGAGCCAGGATTCCCTGTGCGGAGGCCTGTGTGAATACCGCCTCTTGTCTTAGTGTAACAGGCCTCCCGGTGGGCAGCACCTGGCTCAGGTGGGACCCTGCGCTTAGTAAATGTTGGTGGGGAAAAGGACTGCATTGATGGGGAAGAAAAAGAAGCACCGGGTTTGATTAGATAGATGAATTTGCAGTCTTACCTGGACCGAGCTGTGAGACGTTGGCGCAGTCACATCACGTGAGTTCTGTTTTCTCTGAGAACAGTTCTGACCTTTTCAGTTCATGGTGAGGTTTTGTTGCAGAGATGGATAGAAAGCATACTGCGTATTATAAGTGCACAGTGAAGAGCTACAGACTTCGTTTTTAAGCAAATAGGTGCTGAACCCCATCATGTGATTGAGTGCATTACAAAAACCTCTATCAGGTGTCTTCAGGAATACTACGGGAGATGCATTCCGTGAGCTTAAGGCATTTTTTTTGAACTTAAGAAATTAAACATTAATAGGAAATTTGTAGAT